ACTGAAGAGTTTTTTTTACTTATGTTCAAAATCTAGATTGTAAACTTCTTGCAAGCAAAAATTACCATCTCCTAACTTTTGTGTTACTCTGTGGCCAGACTGATACTGATTCAAAATGGGCCAAAATAATTCATGCAAGGAAGCCCATTTTCTATGAAAAAATAGCTTTAATACCAACCCAACCCCAAAGTCAGGATTTTGTTACCAAGAAAAATAACGTGATTTCAGTGTGCTGACTTCCGTTTTATAGATGGCCAAGTTATGGTGTTAAAAATTAACTATTGCATCTGAATTTTTCTATATTGGCTTTTAATATAAACAATGATGCTAGAATTTCTGTTCCCATTTAAGTACTTTTGGGCTAGATCATTTTAATAAAGAACTTTAAATACTGATGAGATCATCTGAAGTGCAGTTCGAATGTGAATACAAACCGTGTGACGAAACCCGCACCTTTTCTGTAGTTTATGGAGAGTGAACATGGCCAGCCCACGTTAGCCCTGCGCTTAAATACAGCCAATGCACAGAATGCACAGAAATGAAGTGGGTAAGCCAAGAGTGGCAGCGTTCAGACTACCCCAAGCCTTCTCAGCAGTCCTTAGACAAGGAGCCCCTTTGACGGCTGTAGAATTCCAGGATGAGGCTGCAGGAAACAGGGTAAAGGCAATTCCGGTCCAGGGGAGTGATAGCAAGGTTTTCCTGGGTTGGGCAGCAGACCTTGCCAAGATTCAGCTGCAGAATGTGCCAAGTCCCCTTCCCACCCATAGCTCGTGAGTGAGTTAAAGAAGGAAGGAAGTGGGGTGGGTCCTCAGGCTTAACAAAGGACCTGAAGAAAACTGGGTGGGGAGAGGCAGGGTGGAGGTTCCAAGCCCCTCAGGAAAGTCCGGCTCAACAGTTGCTTACACACATTTCTGCAAGTAGGAATCAGCGGAGTCATTTTGGGAGCTACTGCTGTGCAGCCAATGCACAAGGTAGCACACTTCAAGAGAAGCGGTTTCGGTTCTCTGTAAATCACTACACCTGCATTCCAGGAGGCCGAGCCCACACCTACAGAAATACCACCATATCTACCTTCCTGGCGCTAACTGCAGACGGTCAAGTTCCCAGCCTTGCCTTTCCTTGCCTCCTCACCTCCCTGTGGTGATCACCGCCACCCTCTGATTTCCAAATGGTCAGACTGGAAAAAGCTTCAATTAGAATTGTTTAATTCCAACCCAAGCTTACTTTAAAAATCAGGTCAAATTTTATGTCTGCTCCAGAAGAGAATCCAGTATCCCTGGCTGTAACCCTCCCCCCACGAGCTTATCTGTGTTCTCAGAGCATCCGTCCTGAGAGCTGCCGTTCAACTCAAGGTCTTCTCTTTACAACCGGATTAACATCCTGAGGAACAGGAGCCAACCCAGTTATTCTCAATTCTCCGTGATCTCACTGACTAAAAGTTTAGTGAATGAATGAATATGAAGAGAAATTCTAGAATAACAGTATTTGTCAAACTAACTCACAAGACATAGGTCAAACGAGTAAGCCTGGCATTAATAGAGACCTCTTCTGAGCAGAGCAGAGAGCACTGCAGCAAACAGCAACATTTGGCCAAAGAACCACTTCACTGGAGATAGCTAGAGATGCTCTCTGCCGAAAACAGTTCAAGCGGATCGTTCTGGAAAAAAGAGTCCTTGTGGTCTCTACACTATTCGCCAGTTAACAACTTAAAAACCAGATCTACATCAAGATCCAAGGCAATGTCACCATGGTCCAGGAAAACAGAGCAAGGTCAGTATGGTTTGGGGACAAAGCCCCAAAGAGAACAAACAGCCAGGTCCGTCCCCTCACGCCTACACAGCTCTCAACATCTGCTGCCTTCTCCGTTCCCTCCGGCGGCTTCGTGAGGTTCTCGCCAACGTTTCCCTCTTCCTTACCCAGCCACTCCTCTGAACTGAAGCCAGAGAGACCTGACTAAGCCCACGACTGCCCATGTTACTTGTCTTCTTTGGTGGCTTTCCTTTGCCAAAAAGACAAGTCTAAACTAAGGTGGCTTACTGGGGCTTTCACGAGTGCATTTCAGCCTTCCTTCCAGCCAAGCCTTTCCAAGCCCCAGGAATCACCAACCGCTGGTTCCTCTGACTAAAATGTTCTTCCCTGCCATGGCCTTCTCCCTGACCAGCAGCCATCCTCCAAGCCAAGTGCAGACTTCTGGCTTGCCCCTTCCTCCACTGACTGAAATGCAGATTAAGACTCACAAATCCTGGGCCTACAGAGGACACCAATGTCTTCCCAGAACTAGTGACTGGATGCTAACTCTCCCATCAGGATGTTTAGAAGACACGGTCCTATTTTACCCTCCTGTTTAATTCTCCCCATATTAGTTACCAACACGTAGAAGTGAGTGCCGTCCAATGTAGCCTATAGCTCGTTAACAACAGTTATGCTGAGTGATCCCTGAGGAACATGATTACATTTTAAAGTTTTTCCTCCTGACATACCTTGGCATAAGCACATAGTGAAATGTTTTTATGATTGCATGAATTTGTAATCATAGCATTTGTCAGTGTAAGAAAATACTGGAAGTGCCCACAGCAGAGGCTCACATTAGGAGAAGAAGAGACTCAGGGCTTTGCTTTGCCAAGTTTTATGCCATGCTCAGAATCACTTTCCTGTCTGGGCACATGAGAGGGAGGCAACCCCGAGTTCTGCAAGTGGAGAATGGGCTGAGTGAAAAGAATACTCTGGCAGGTGGCTGGGATTCTAACCCTGCCACTATTTACTTAGCTGACTTCAGCCAGGAAAGGTACAGCAAGTAGGTAAGGGATTTTAAAATGACAAAAGAAAGGAAATCTGTTACACAGTTGCAGAGTTGGGTCATTACCCTGGAAATAAGAGGACTGAGGACTTGCTTTGCAGTGCTGAGTTGCAGCTTCCTCTGGTGATGGGAGTGTCAACTGAGTCAGTCTCTAACAGCAAGAGCAGAGGCCTGGGCTTGCAGGGAAACTGAAGCTCGTGATCACCGAACTTAGCAAATGTATTGTCACAACAGATTCCCAAGACGTGAAAGGTTAAAATAAGGTCAGAACGCTTGGATCTTTAGATAATGACTGTAAAAGCATACAGGCACCTAACTGCAGCCATCCCGTTATGTTGGCAGCTCTGGGTGCTGACTGGCTCAAGCCGTGCCATCCCACAGACGTGTCCGTCTGTGCAGCCGGGTAACACTCGACAGTGAGAAAGAAAGGCCCTGAGCATCACCCTTCCTCACTGTAACCGACGGGAAAGTCTAAGTGGGCAAAGCCGCACTTCCAATGTGTGTTCATACGTCGTCTTCCCTCGTAGACACAAAGATTTCAGAGCTGCGAATGCACCCATCATATGACAGTCAAGCAAAACTACAAAACCATCACTGTTCTGTTTTAGAGACTTTAAAAGCAGCAAGGAAAATAATAAAGCAAGCTGCAAACCTTCACAAGTGATATTTCTGGCTCCTTTAAAAGCTGTGCCAGTGACTGGCTCCAGCTCCAGATCTCCACACTTCGGAGGGAATCATAATCTTATTGGCTGTGACAATAACATTCTGGACTAAAATAATTACAGAACAAAGGCACCACCGGGTCCTGCGAACAGCACAGACGTCTTCAGGGCTGGAAACTACGTCTGCCCCTGCAGCATGAGGCTGCACTCGGCCCTGAACAACGCCGCCTACCTCAGTCACTCTCATTTTCACTTACCCGTGAGATGCAGCTTTCAGTAAAGAACCACTAGGAAAGAATCACCTCCCGTCACACCAGGGCACGCTTTCACACCACCAACAGCTAAGACTCATGGTGCGTCTCGAAAAATGCATACGAAAGCGGTTGGTCTCCTAATTACAGTGAATCCAAAGGACTAGCCTCTTGAGAAGTTGAAGCTACACATTAAGTTAGACAAATGTTCCAAGGATGTGATGGGCAAGAATTAGGCTGTGACACGGGCAAACTTTCGGGTGCCTGTAGCAACCGAAACAAGGGCTTGATAGTTTCTGTGGTGCCAGCAGAGGGAAGGGGTCTGAATCTTCCAACTGTGAAGTCAACAGCCAGCCACCAGCAGTTCACCCTCCAGGCTTTGGTCTTAGCTTTCCTGCCACTTGAGGTAGCCACTGTGACAGTGCCAACATCCATGTTAATGAGCTGGACAGCAGGCCCTGCAGGTCCCAACCCAGCTCGACATCAGGAAACCCTGTCATTTGTAACAATAGACATGGGGCTAAAGAAGCATGTAGCAGCTTCTTCTCCCCTGGAAGGGCTGGAAAGTTCAATGAGAAAGGAAATTTACAGTCAGGGAAAGAGGGAGAACTGTTCTCTTTGCAAAGAGTCCTGGACGGTAGAGTGAAGCCTCACAAATAACAATCAGTGGGTCACAATGGAGGCCAGGGAAGGCAGCTGCATTGTCTCCCGGCCTGAGGGCAGCCTTCTCAGCTCTGAGGCCTCAGCTGAATAACTGCTTTCAGGGGACTGGGCAGCCCGTCCTTTCCTCCAGCCTTCACTGTCTCCACACAATGTCACTCTTGTTGGAACACAGTGTTCAGAAAGCTACTGGGCAGTCTCCATCTGACCCGCCTTCAGCGGGAGCAGCTAGGATCTGTTTTTCTGCCCTTCTCTATTTCTACCCACCCAGAATACATTCCTTTGGAGATGAGATGCATGGCCAAGGTGAACATAAACGTGCACTGGGACATTCTTTCCAAAAGCTATGTTCTCTGCACTATTTCACAGGATAAAGTTTCCAGTGTACGACCAGGAAGCTATCAACTCAGAGACATGCTAGACATGCATATGTGGCTGTCTAAACTTCTACAGGGCTTATTTCGGAGTTCTCTTATAAGCCCAGCCCCAAAACCACCAGCTTAAGAGCTCAGAGAATCAACATTTACCAAGGATGACTTGCAGAGGTAAAATCTCAAACAGTTACAAACAACCAAGCAGAGCCATTTCCCCACCCATTCAAACCAACATCCCCAAGAGGAAAGGGCTTACGTGTTCTGCCTTCTCCGGATCCTTTCTGTCTGTCTGTAAAAACTGACAGTTTTCTCTTGCCAGCTTCTGGACCAGCTCAATACGTCCGATGTCGTCTCTCTCCTGGAGTTTGCACATTACCCCAGCCTTGAGAGTTGGAGAAAATGCGAAGAGATACTTAAATCCGCAGTCCCAGGACATGACACCACCACAGAGTCCACCTACAAGAAGCGCATTTTCCCTGTGGCCTGAATTAAATCATGGCCTTCATCAACAATTTTGCCTTTCCAAAGTTAAATTTATGTTATTTTAGTGTAGCGATATCAGGCCAGCGGCTTTAAGAGCATGTGTCAGTCTGCTGCAAGAGCTGGAACTACATCGTTTGCTACTACGTGTGCGCCTGATATGCTGGCATTTGTTTGTCCCCGACAGCCTGTTTCCTGTTACATAAGCGAAGCCTTGCAAAAGGTTAAAAATTCATGGGAAAGTTAGCCAGGAACCACTCCAGCAGAAAGGGTGAGGTGATACAGTGTCCTAAAAATAACAGTCTAAAACTTCCCAATTCTTCAGCTGGGCAGAGCCATTCCATGGACAAATACAGTTACCAAGAAGATTATGGGATAAACTTTATTTTTCTCAACTGGAAAATTACTATAAGGACAGGAGCAGCACTCAGGAGCATTTAGAAACAACCTATTACACATCATACGTTTCTTTATATGCTGAAAGTTTTAAGTTGTCGTAACAGGAATGAGTTAAATCTAGGAGTTTAGAAGAGAAAAAAGGTCACTCTGACACAGAGATTATGAACTATTTCTACTCATATTCTTTCCCAAATGGTTCACATAGACATAGCGAAGCATGATCTAAAGAAATCTGAGGTTGACCTGGCAGGATTAGTGAAAATCACTGAATCTTCCTTCACCCACACATCCTACAGGGTTTGAATGTCCAGCAATGTGACCACATACGGGGACAGAGCAGAGAGCTCAAGTTTTGTGGTCTTAATGGCTGACGTGGAAGTCGCCCACACGTCCAGTGGGTATCACAGAAACACAACCTGACCTGCAGCACAGCAGCTACAATCTTATTCCCAAGGGCTCAGAAGGAAAGAAATCCTCCGAGCAGTCACCACAGACCCCTAGAGGGCAGCAGGCAGGATTCTCCCACGAAAGTATGAAGTCTGTGAGTATAACATTCCTCAGAGTTTTGTTGGACAATGACCTCATCTTATCTTAAGACTCCTGGACATGGTGGCTAGCCAGAGCTGCCGGAAGTCTACACCACCCTAGATAACTAACGTCAGCCCAGGAGCAGTTTCCCTTTAAGGCAACTGGGACAAGGGCTCCCTCTTTCCCAGCCACACAATCTTTCTAGGGTTAAACAGACATATTCACTGCAACATCATTTAATATTCTCAGATACAGATTTCTAGTTGTCTGTCATTAAATACATCATTCAACAGCCTTTGATAAATACTCACAGTAAATCCTAAAGCTACAGAATTCAAGTCCCTTGCAAGTTGTTGTTCAACAGAGGGAGAATACTGCATCACACACACACAGACACACACATGCACACACGCCACATGCACAGATATACACATACACTCACACACAGAGACACGCACACATACATGCACACTCACACACACGGGGGCGGAGCAGTACTGAGGTGGTCGCTGGACCAGATTTTCTAGTAAGATGGCATCTGAGCAAAGACCTAAAAGAACGAGGAAAACGTGATGTCTATACCCAAAGGAAGTGTTTTAATCAGAGAAACAAGGTGCCAGGGTTGTGTGCTTGCCATGCGGATGGACTGAGAAAGGAGACAGTGACGCGACAGGACAGAGCCGGTACGGGGAGGCTGGCAGAGAGGTGCAGGTCCAGGTGCCAACGTTTTGTTACAGGCTCTGTAGGGAGTTTACGGTCCTAAGTGGGAGGTTTGTACCACGCCCGCCCTCAGGGCTCAGGGGACTCTGTGGAAGAGGAGGCAGAGAGCGTGTAAGAACCAAAGGGGACAGAGGGAAACTCAGCAGGACTGCCGCTCTATTGACTCACAGAGGCCTCGGCAGCATGCTCCGGGCCAGATGTGGTTCCAGTGCTGAGAAGAGGTTCTGTTAGGACAGTATTATAAAACCTTACAGGTCTCCTTTGCGAATCTCCGATGGCTTCTAGTTCTCTGTTTTTATGGGAATAGTGTGTGTACAGATGTCTGCCTCTACATGTGTTTCTTGCACTTTTTCTTTGCTTTTTTTTTTTTTTTCTCTTTGTTTTGTCACGTTCTGGTTTGCTTGGTTTTGTTGTATCTTATTGTTCTTTAGATGCTTGTTTGGAGTTTGTTTTTGGTTTTGCTTTTTGAGACACAGTTCCTCTGTGCAGCCTGACTGTCCCATAACTAGGTTTGCAAGAGGCTGGCCTTGAACTCCCTGAGATCTGAGATCGCCTGCCTCTGCCAGGATTAAAAGTGTGTGCCAACACCCACCTAGTTGACTTTTTGGTTTTCTAACAAGAGCCAGGAGGGTGTGAATTCAGGTGGGAGGAGCAGTGGGGAGATCCTGGAGGATCTAAGGGGTAAATCAGGATAAAAACTGTTTTCAAGAAAAGAAAAATAGAAAAAAATCTTAAAAATAAAATACGATAAAGCCCTGGGAAGTGGCTGTGGACCCCAGTAGCGCACGTCCCCAAGCAAGGAGAAGCCATTTTAAGTCCTGCCACGGAGAGATGTGAGTGTTCCTACAGACGTGCTCACCCTTCCTTCAGCCTGTACAACGCCTAGACAGATTACAACACTACATGCCAGACATCACATGTGTGTGTGTGTGCGTGCGCGCGCATGCAGACAGAGACAGACGCGTGTGTGTGTACACGCTTCAGTGAAAAGGAGATTCCTGTCAGCTGGAGGTACAGCTTAGCGGTAGAGTTCTGCCTAATATTAGCCACACCTGCTGTAGACACTTTGCTTCGCCAAAGATAAATAAGTCCCATAAATTCACACTTTAAGATGTAGTAAATTAAGCATAAAGATCTGCATAGCAATGGACTGTCAGGTTCTCGTCTTTAGGATGGAGTCAAGTTGGGCATTGAACATCTTACATCAACAAGTCAGTACTGCTTCTCATTTAAAAAACAAAACAGAAATTACAGAAGTCACAGAATGTAAATTTTAGTTTAACAGTGAGTTATGATAATTAGTCTTCATAAAAATAAACTAATTATGTTTCTTAGTTAAGCTATGAGCCAATGATGTCTTATCAGACGTTATCAATTATGTTGTCCTTAAATTTGGCATTAATTAATCTGTACGACAGTAAATCATATTAAAATATATAACAGCGTTTTGCCTATCTATAAAAAGTTGGGCTTCTTGTTCGGAACAAGATGGACTTCTTTGGAATGTGTGAGCAGAGAATTCTCACACATAGATTTACAGTTTAGAGGACTGCTGTGGGCAGCATCAGGAGACTAGTTCTCAGCCAGGGTGTGTCTGGGAACTTGAGTCAGTAGCAGAGATGAGGCTGGTGGCCGCCTAGACACACTTCCCAAGCAGGGCCAGCAGGTGCTGTTTGTAAAGTTTGGGGGACTATGGAGAGAAGGTGCTTACTCAGAGTGGGGCATGGCAATCTGCAGGTCCTGAAGCAAAGGGGAGGGTGGGACAGGACACCAGGGCCATCCGGAGTACAGAGTATTTTAGTTGTGTGCAAGGATGGAAAGCAATAGCTGAGTGCTAGGTTTAGAAATGGGGAGACGCAGAGAATCAGGAGACAGGAAGCGTGCCCTGTAGCGCTCTTTTTAAAACTACTTTATTTGGGGTGTTTAGGCCTCAATCTCCCTTCCAACTTCCCAACCCTCACATGGGAGAGAGAAGGTTAGCAGGGAGAGGGGGCGCTTGACTTCTGACTGTTTATGGTTCTTTTAGGCTCTGTACCAGTCTCCATCAACGGCAGAGCCGGCAGGCTTCTCCACAGCAGCAGGCTTCTCTACGCTGCTGCACCCGTCTGTCTGCTCCAAACGCCATACCATCTCCGGTCTCTCCAAAGTGCTCTACGCCAACACTGAATGCCACAGGTTCTCTTTCTCAGCTCTCACATTTTACTCTCAGAGCCCTGAACCACGGCCCTCTCCTCTCCATGCTGTACGGGGAAGGCCGTTACCAGCTGGCAAAGACCACACCCACACCCCACAAGTGACAATTACCAGCTGTGGACAAACTAGAGCCCAACTAAAATCCCACACCTGGAATTAAAACAAAAACATGTTTACACAACATAACTAGGTCTACAGAGAAAGCAGAACTTCATTCCAGTGTGCCGCTCCTAGGGAAATCTGGAGAACCAGAGCGATTCCCAGCAGGTGGGGCTCCAATTCCAGCAGCGTGCTGCCACCGCACCAGGGAAGATGCTTCCAGATCCTGTCAGTCAGACAGAGGTGACCCAGGACTGAGAGGGGGGGAGGGGGGCGCAGCCAATGGAGAATCCATGGCCACCATGACAGTCTGGCCCCACTGAAGGACAGGAGTCCCGCCGGCTCAGGGGAACTGAGCCTAGGGACATCTCGGGTGTGTTAGGGCATGTTATCTATGTTAGAAACCTTCTACCACACAGGGAAATTTGACCACACGAGGGTGGGGCAGAGCAGGGGAAGGGAGTGGAAGTGAGCGCATTTTCAAGATTAATACTCGTGTGTATGAAAAGGAAGATAGGGATCTACCCTCAGAAATGTAAACACCGACAGCGTGCAGTAGGCTGGCAGAGTCTGGCTCGCTGAAGGAGTCTTTCCAGACAGCAGTGACTGAGAATAAGGACCTGGAAGAAGATCCTGGCGGTGTGAGGTACAGAGCAGACGGTCAGGGTGAACGTTAGCAAAACCTTCATACCGGGCCACACAGCAAGTATCTCAGGCTTTAGGTTGCAATGACTGAGCTGTGCAGGCTGAACCCTGGAGCAGCAAGGGGTGGTGGGTAAGCATATGGACCAGGCTACGGCCAGGAACACGCCGACACAGACAGGCGGGGGCTGTGGGTGTCATCTCCTGGCCTAGGGACTACAGGGGTCCAGTGCGGTCTAGAGCAGTGGTCCTCAACCCTTTTAACACTGCGGCCCCTAAATATAGTTCCTCATGTTTGGCTGAGACCCCAACCATTAAAATGATTGTGTCCCCACTTCAGAGCTGTCGTTTTGCTCCTGTTATGAACCATGATGCAAATATCTGGCATGCGGGATATGGGGTATGCGGTCTCCAAAGGGTCCTGACCATCAGGCTGACGGCTGCTCTAGGGAATCACCAAGGCCCATCTGAATTTTACTTTTTTTTCTTTTTTAAAATATTTTTTATTTTAATTTTTATTAATTACACTTTATTCACTTTGTATCCCCCCATGGCCCCCTCCCTCTTCCCCTCCCGACCCCACTCCCCCTCCCCTTCGCCCTCCTCCACGCATGCCCCTCCCCCAGTCCACTGATAGGAGAGGTCTCTCCTTCCTTCTGATCCTAGTCTATCAGGTCTCGTCAGGAGTGGCTGCATTGTCTTCTTCTGATTTTTACTTTTAAAATCCCTCTTCATCCTAGCCTTTCTCCTAAGGGAATATTTCTTATTTGTCAGAATTTTCAGAGCTCCTGTGATCTGATGATGCCCATCATATGGACCACTCATGAAGATGTGTTTTTAGTCAATGCAAGGAAGGGCAGAATATTAAGTGGTACCAAGGTCCTCCCTTTGTCGTTGGAGGACAAGGGAACTGTGCCTGTTTTTGCTTGCAAATAATTATTTTTGCAACAAGGTTCATGAGGAAAACTGGTCTAAAATTTTCTATCTTTATTGAATTTTTGTGTAGTTTAGGTACCAGGGTGACTGTGGTCTCAAAAAACAAAGTGAGCAATGTTCCTTCTGTTTCTATTTTGTGGAATAATTTGAGGAGTGTTAGCATTAGATCTTACTTGAAAGTCTGGTAGAATTCTACACTAAAACCATTTGGCTCTGGACTTCCTTTATTTGTGAGACTGCTTCTATTTCCTTAAGGGTTATAGGTCTACTTAAGTTGTTTATCTAATTTGTGGTATACAGGATTTTGAAGTAAGACTAATGATTGTTTGGATTTCCTTGATGTCTGTTGTTATGTCCCCCTTTTCATTTCTGATTTTGCTAATTTGGATATTGTCTCTCTGCCTTTCATTTAGTTTGGCCAAGGGGTTTGTCTGTCTTGTTGGTTAGCATTCTGTAAAGATTGTATTTCTTAACAGAAGATCAATGTCTGCTATCTAGAGACTTCTTCTGTGCTTACACCTGAGACTTCTCCCTGCTCCATGTTGCCCTCAGAGGCTCACTGTCTACTGCCCAGGGGGCATGCTAACACCCCACAAGCCACAGACAGACTGTGTGGTAACAGAGGGAGTGTGGGTAGAAGGCCAGGCAGGCTGGCCCAGCTGCAAGGCTGGAAGCTGCTGTGCGCACAGTGGACAGAACCCGCCAGGACTCTTGACTCAGAGACCCTGAGCCCTAAGCGCAGCTCTGCAGACAACTGTTACGATGTTAGCAGCAGAGCTCGGGTGGACAACAGACACTGCTTCTATGTTTGCTTTCTACAGAGACACAACTTTTCAAGAAACTCTTCATCTCATGAGGACCCTAAGTACACACTTTTTTTCCCTAAGAAAACAGTTTAATCTGAACCAAACACATGGATTCATGGATCAAATATTTGCATTTTAAATAACAAATGTTATTACTTTAAACATTGTTTCATCTTTTCTTTTTAAAGAAGGAATATTACTGTCTCCATTTTCCAGTTTCAATTTTTGGATGTAGTAATATTTTCATTAGATAACTGTAGAGCGCTCCTTACAAAATACCTGTAGGATGTTCAGCAAACGACCCCCATTAAAGTGCAGGGGGCACTTTAATCTCTGGGGGTTTTCAGCCCAGAGATGGTGCAAATTCTCCATGGTTCATGAAATAGTGAACTTGGAAACACAGCATAAAGCCAAATGTTTTCTGGGTCCCTTCATGGCCCTTAATTTAGTAATTTAATTCAGGAAACCCGTGAATTTATTAATGTTTTGGAAGATTTGCTGTGGATACTCAGGCAATATGAAAACTAACAGCCCTCAATCTAGACTTTCACGTTCATGGTCTATTCAATTTATCTATGTGAAATTAATTATAAACAGTTTACCTAACACTGCTAAACCAGAAAAGGAGAAAGGATTAATGTGTAACTGTCACAAGAATTATTTAAGAGCCTTATTTCAAGGTCTCTTTTGGAAGAGAAACATTTTTATAATGTATAATTAACACTGTTCTTATGGCTTCAGTATAAACAATGTTACAAGCTCCCATGATTCATGAAACGTGGGTCCACTCCCTGAAGGGGTGAAAACAAGCATGGAGAGGATCCTTCAGGACACACGGGACAAGTGAGCAGCCTTCCCTGTGACCAAGGTGGAGGACAGAGGTTCACACCTAAAACAATGACTGCATTACATACGTAAACACTCAAATTCACTCTTCGGGGGCTGGGGACAGCTCTGCAGTAAGAGCACCTGCTGCACATGGATGAGGAGCCACGTTCAAGTGCCCAGCGCTGGTGGTAAAAGGCAGGTATGGCCGCGTGCACACCTAGGACCCCAGCACCGTGAGGAGTGGACAGGGAACAGCACTGAGGTTTGCTGGCCCCAACCTAGCACTAGATCCAGTGAAAGATCTTGTCTCTGGCCTTCATGTGCATACAGGTGAGTGTACACAGACACACACACACACACACACACACACACACACACACACACACACACATTCTTTCACATACACAGATCACTTTTTCTAAAACACTAAGTAAATCACAATATAAATACCTCCATCCAGAGAACTTAAACCAAACTTCTGCCTTTTGGGAAAGCATGATTGAAATAGCAAACTACTGCAGCACAAATTCCATTGAACATAAATTCAGTATACTCAAAGGGGGACCCCTGTGAGTGGCACATGAAGCCTGCAGAATGATCTCAACATAAACTCAACCGCAGCATCATTAATAACACTACAACCTGCGGAGCCTTGAGGAGAACAGCTACTGTGCTTCTTCTGACACAGGCAATGGAGTTTGGACCTCCAAGGTGAAAGGCACAGGGTAACTGGGCTGAGTCCTTAAATGTTTCATTTTCATATAACGTGAAATGGTTGTTGACACTGAGGTATCCAATTCAGAGCCTTGACCACTGTGATTCAGTCTCAGGGATCAACGGCACGGGGTCTCTGGCAGCGGGCACATGGCTACAGTGTGTGGGCAAGCTCCTTTTCTAACTGTGTGAAGAGAAGGTCAGCCAAGAACCTCCTCTGTTCTTTCTTCGGGAAGTGGAATCCACCTATCATCTATCTATGTATGTATCTATGTGTCCACATGTATGTATCTATCTATGTATGTATCTATGTGTCCACTATGTATGAATCTATCTATTTTTGTATCTATCAAGTATCTATCCATATGTATCTATCTATCTATGCATCAATCATCTATGTATCATCTATCTATCTATCTATCTATCTATCTATCTATCTATCTATCTATCTATCTATCTAATTTTCTATCTGTCTGTCTGTCTGTCTACCCACCCACCTACCTATTTTCTATCTAGCATCTACAGACATAGAGAGGGAAGGAAGGGGAGTGGAAGAGAGACAGAGTGTACCTCCTCGGTCAACTCTTCTGCAGTAGTCACCATGTCTGAAGGACACACCCCAAGATCCCCCTGAATCCCTAAAACTACAAACAGCACTGAACTGTTTTTCCATACATCTGCGACACCTCTGTTTATAAATTAAGCAAAGAGATTAGCAACAGTAACTAATAATGAGAGAACAGCTAACTCAACATACTGAGGAAGAGTTCTATGAATATGGTCTTTTTGTAGTCAGTCACCCCTTAGTGCTGATGTGACACAACAGCTCTGAGAAGAGGCGAGAGACGTGGGCCTTGTGATGCCACACCAGGCCGCTGAGGAAGGGTGAACTGAAGAACCCTGAAGGAACCGATAGGTCAGTGGAGAACCACAGCTGGCCAGGGACTGCTGAAGGAAGCGTATGCAGTATTGATGCTCTGAACAAAGAACAATGCTGCATCCTGGTACTCTGAAGCGGGACTGCACAGAGCAACACACAATTTAAAACACATGAATCGCTTATTTGAAAGACCTCTCTGTTTAACATACTTGGACAGTGGGTAACTGAAAGTATGGAGAGTAAAATCCTGGATACAGGAGGAGGCCTATAAATAAAACGAACAATTTAGGGTCTTCCTTGGGAATGTCTGTATGTCCAATCTAAGCCCTTTACCCCCGTGAAAATGAGTAGTAACAGGCCACACAAGGCAAACCTGTCTCACTGTCTCACTCGGCCCCTCTAGCCACCCTCCGAGAAAGGGTCAACGCTGTGGTAGCACACATCGTACCTGAGGATCGGGACCACCGTCAGCCTCTGTCACGGTCATGTGCTTGTCAGTGCTCTCGTCCTCTTGTTCAACTGCTCAAAGAGATAAAGACAAACATACATGGCATCATAAGAAAATGCTCCTGGTTGGCTTCGACAGATGACAACTTTCCAGGAAAAAAGAATGCTAGCTTCATAAAAGAAGGTGCAGTGATGCAGTCTGCTGCCTGCATGGGAGGCTGCCAGCATTCTGTCCTGCACATTACGTCACCTATGACATCAGCGGCGGCGGGAAATGGTCATTGCGTCTTCTCTCCGTCCTGTCCCGTCCTGCGCTTTACCAAAGGACCTCAGGGGTACTCATTTTCACTGAGAAGAGTATTCTTAAAAAATACTGAAATGGAGAATTGAATCCAGGGCTTCTCATTCTACCACTGAACTATATTCCCAGGTCACCCACTCTTAACATTTCTAAAAGTAGAAACACATCTCACCAAGTTATCAAGGTAAGCCTTGTACACCAGATCCACGCAGCAGCCCAATAGCTGGAACTATAAACTGTCTGTGTGTGTGTGTGTGTGTGTGTGTATGCGCTCAGTGGCAAGAGAAATGTCTTATTACAAGGAAACAGTACTTTATGACTCAGTTACTTGGTGCATTGCCACCACAAAATTCCAAACTCTAGAGTCTTGGGTCGGCTTTTTCCTTGCCTTGGCACCTTCTTGTCAAGCATTTCATTGCTCTTTCATTGTGATTACATGAACCTCCTACATCCAGCCCTGGTTCCAGCCTCTTTATTTGACCAAGCATGGTGCAGCTGTTGAAGTAATCATTCCCAAATGACATAAACACAAGTGCCACGCTCTGGTCCGTGGTCTCCTTATCTTAGAAGTCTGCTCTTCTCTACTGCCGGGTTCCGCCCACTCTCCAGCTTCCTTGGAATCTCTTTTCTCACACAGACACAACTCTGCTCCAAGCTGGATGAATGCACAGGTTTTTGATACATACACCTAATGCCAAGGCACAAGCACTACTCCCCAAATACACACTAAATAAATCAATGCAATAATCTTTTAACTAAGGTAAGATGAAAAGTCATATAAGAACAACTATAAAAATGCAGCAGACCTGCCACGGAGATCACAGTATTGGGGAAGACAGGGGTGATTTCGACAAAGTTAAGGCCGAGCCGACCACCCCTGCCAGGACACAGGGATAGACGGAAATCTGGAGAGAGTGCAGACCGCAGTTAAGTTTAGACCTGAGCCAAAGAACATGGCTGACCACTGAAGAATTTGTAACATTTGGTGCATATGTTCTCAAGTTCTGTCAGCTTGTTTGTGGAGGACAGAAGATAACATAGCAGCAGGCAGAAACAGAGAAACCAGTCAGATGACTGTTACAGTGGTCTTCCTTAGAAACGGGAGGACTTAGGCCAGAGGCAGCCAAGAGGAAGATGAGCATGGAGGACTTAGAGAGCACACACTCCACCTGACAATGACCTGAGCCTGCAGAGAGGTGCAGGGAAGAGAGCTGGTGGGGAAGCAGCAGTCAGTGATGACCTTGATGATCTGAGGCAGGACCAGCGGAACATTCATCCTTCTGCCCTCTCCATCAAAACGAGGCTAAAGGCCTACAACCTCCCAGCCTAACTGCACTCATGGGCTCGGTCTGCATAATCTGTGGACTTAAACATATGCTTTCTGCTGAGCAGCTTTTAGAATAAGCGTTGCACATGCTTTGTGTGACTCTGTGCTTGCTGTGTGGTACTTGCATTAAGCCCACTCTAGAGCAAGGCACACAGCGCAGCGCAAACAGATGAACAACGCGCCAACACGTGTCCAGAGTGGTTGTGCTGGACACCACGAGTGCAGCACGCTACTTCGTTTACCTGTTCCTGAAGGAAGGGAGGACAGCTCCCCGAGGATCACACCTACCAGCCGAGCCACAGGCCAAGCAGGGACGGCGGAACTTCGGAGAGGCCTTGCCCTGTTTTTAGCAAAAAGTCCCACTCATGCTTGCTGAAAGAGGTCCCTACTGTACTGTGGGCCAGTCAGGAGGGAATTTAAAGAAGAAAAAAAACACTAGGAGAGACTAGGAAAGAAAAATAAAATTGAGGAAAACATCCTCAACTCCTCTTAAAAAGGCAACAGGCTCCAAGAGCAACTCCACTCAACCAAATGAAATTCAGTAAGAATTTCCCATAAGTCTTATCCTGGGAGCAAGTTAATACTACGTGAATGGAGGCTTCCTTTACATGAGAACAAGCAATTCTTGGGCAATTAAGCTGTGATTTACTTATTTTCTTTCATTCTTAGAACCATTATTCTTGATCAATAATAAAGAAAATAAAACTTTGGAATATTTTGGCCAATAAAGTCATGCTTTTTCAAAAACTATGTTCTGGGGCCTTTGCCTTTCTTTTTCTCATCTGATTCAGCTAGAAACAGAACACTAGGATAATGCATAACAATTGACTTTTAAAGTCAGACAGGACAGACAGACACACACGGGAGTAGCTCTTTTTGGGTAGCGGTTCAAGACAGCGCTTCTCGGTGCAACAGCTCTGGCTGTTCTAGAACTCGCTTTGTAGATCAACTGATCTCCAGCTCACAGAGGTGCTATGGCCTCCTGCCGGGGGTAGAGATGCGTGCCTCCAAGCCCAGCTACAAAGCAGTTTTCAATACAAAGAAGAACAGATTAGCATAGTGCAAACAAAATGAATTTTGTTTGAATGCAGCAGCAAATCTGCGTTCACTCATTCACTCGCTCACTCGCTCACTCATTTGTCCATTCACTCATTCATTCATGCTGGTAACTGAGCTTAAGGCCTTCCCTTCCACTTATCTTTATCAACAATAACACATTTATTCTCACAGCTTTAAAGATGTCAAACACCCACTGTCTGGTATTACATTTAAATAACAGTGGAAGGCGGACAAACAGGCAAGGAAGTGACTAACCCAAAGGACAGCAGGACTGTCCTCCGGAGGATAGAGAAAAGACAATGTCCTATCCAGCAGACACACAGTTTAAAAACACTGGATGATCACAGCTCTGGGACTGCATGTAGCCCGTGGCTCGCATGCATCACAAGACAACAAAACTTATTTATTCTGCACTTTCCAGGATTTAATACATAGCTGGAAAGTTCTACAGCTCCTGTTGTGCGTACATTAATGTCCAAGAATACCTTAGGAGACAATTTCTCTTCATGTCTGCTTACAGTGAAGTTAGTGCCAAGAGGGGGAGAGGGGCAGTCGTTTAGATTCTGGGTTCAAATTTTCTCTTATCTGATCAAATAAGGGGAGGTTCAGGGAGAGTTTCTGTGCAAATATTAGTTCTGGGATGGTTCCCCCAGCAGGTCACGTACTCAGGCATGCCACTCCTGGGACCAGGGCGGCTAGAAGCCTTGCCTTCTGCCAACACAAACCGTCCCTTATCTCTCCACACGCAGAACCCAAAGGCAAGGAACAGCCTTGGAAAATAACTTGGCGTAACAAAACACAAGTGCAAGAGTCCGAGCCTGTGCGTGGAACAGTGAACACTGGAGGCCACTGAGAACTAACAGTGGATGTGAACTATGTAGCCCCAATTCACACGAGAGCACTTAGTTTAAATGTGTCTGTGTGTAAACCAGCCAGCAGGGATTCCAGAGCGCGAGAGCTGCTGCTCCCACGGCTCTTCCCGCTCGCCCCACAGCGCTGCACTTCTTCCTTGTAGCTTTTCTTTCAGAACGCCATGCAGAGTACTGTGCTTGCTTCACTCTCACCCTTCCCTAACCCTCCTCAACCTCCTCCCATGTGCCCCTCAGCTCCTTCTCAAATCCACGACCTTGGCACTATTATACACAGGCATGCATGTGCAAACACACACACACAGGCACACGCACTCGAAGACACACACTACGAATCCATTTGTTTATGGCTGACTATCTGGGATGGTCATCCCTAGAGAAGGCCTTTTCACATCTGTTTTGTCAGCTCCCACCGGCTGCCGGAAGCTCTTCATTTTAGGCAGGGGCTTGTGAGGTTCCCCCATCTGCCCTGCCATGTTAATTGGTGTTCTCGTTATGTACAGCTGTGAGGCACAGGGACCACCACTCATGGGTAATAGGCAAACTACAGAGATGCCTGTGGAAATTTTTCAACATGCTAAGAGCAGGGCTACCACACGACTCAGCGGTCCACTCCTGAGCTGGCCCCAAAGGACCAGGTTCCCTACTCTACAGCTATTGCTCAACCTTGTTCACTGACGCTCTATTTGAAATATCCAGGAAACGGAAACAGCCTGATGTCCTTCGAGAGAGATAAATGGATAATGAAAATGGAGTGAGTGCATGAGCACAGTGGGTTTCTATTCAGCTGTGCAGAAAAATGAGCCCGTTCGTGAGTAAACGGAGAAAAGTGGAAAGCAGTGTGTGAGGGAGGAAATGCAGGCCCGGAAAGCCAGCGCTTTCTCCTCAGGAGACGCTGCTGATCTGTTTTCCTGAGGCTGCCTTTTAACGTGCACGAGTGCTTTGGTCTGCCTCTGTGTTCGTGCCCCACGTGCACGTCTGCGGCTCCTGCGGGCCAGGGGGTGTCCTGTGCCCTGGAACTGGACTTCAGACAGATGTGAGTGTTCTCCGGAAGAGCAGCCAGTGCTCTTGACCGGCGAGCCACCTCCCTAGCAACATGACAGACAGTAAGGAGCCCTTCTAGGGACTCCACTAATACAGGCTTTCGTCTTTGAAACTTTATTTTCGTTTGAGACAGAATCTTGCCAGGTTCTCTCAGCTGGCCCAGTGCTTCCTGTTGGGCCAGGCTGGCCTCGGAGTCACAGCCGTGCTCCTGCTTCCTCTTGCCGATGGTGTGACTGCAGAGTCCTTTCAAGCGATGCTCAACAGCTCTGAAGGTGAGACTACCCTCCCAGGGAGCAAGGACACAGCACCGGGGCATTACAGCTGGCAGGCTTCCTTTACAAACGATCAACTTTCTTTCTTTTCAAAGAACTTACAAGTCAATGAAAACTTTTCCTACAGACAGAAATTCAGAATTTCAAGTCATTTGTGAATAGTCAACAAAAATAAAAAAGTAATTTAGTGAACCCCTTGC